TTTAATTGACTAAATTTTGACACTTAATTTTAGATTTTACGTAAATTTAGTCCAATTGATGTAAAATCTTTACGGTCTTTGATAGAAAATTTTCATTAGATTGGTTAAGATTAAGCCACTGAATTGACCAAGTATTTTGTTTCATTCCTAAAACGATGACAGGTTTCATGTGTCATAAAAAAATGCTATCAATTGCACTAATTTGAGACAAAATAAAAAATTCAAGGTTAAAATTGATTCAATTGAAATTACGAAGACTAAAATTACATAATAGCCAAAGTAGAGCGACTAATAGTGTAATTTGCCCTAATTGTTAGCATTTGTTAATGACTAAGTGACATATGTCATTCTTTTAGAGATAAAATAATAAATTTGCTCAATTCGTTGAGTTAGCCTCAACAAATTCAGTAATCATTTTTTATCAAAAATATTAACTGTATTATTAATTACACTAAATTGACACAAAATTTAAAATTAGAATTACAATTAATTTAATAAAAAATATAAGGACCAATATTAATATTTACTTTTATATTTAAAATATCAACAAACTCATTCTCCACAATTTTTTTTTTTTCCCTTTTATGTTATACAACAAAGGAAATAACCCAACTGAAGAAACAAATCAAATTTGATACAGCAAAATCCGCATACCAGATCGACCTAGAGACCGAGAAGGAAGTCCAAAAATTCTAAATTTGGTGAAGTAAATTTGATTTTGGCGGGTCAAAGAGGCGGGAGCCAAATCATGAAGCAAGGGTTTATCATTCTATGTCTTTCATTCCATCCTTATCTATCATCTACACCACAAATTCGCTGTGTTTTCATCTTCTACGATTAGAGTTCATTAGGTATTCGTTCTCTCTTTCTCACACTCATCAAACACACACAATACCTCTATCTTTCTCACTTATTTATGATCTTCTTGTTTTAGGCATAAAACTTGATACAATCTGAAAATCTAATTTTGTAACTCATGAATTTATTAATTTTCATCTTTTAATATAAAAGGTTAGTTGTAATTTATTATTATTGTATTTATGTTGTGATTGTGTATAATGTCTTCCAAGTGTTTGTTTAAATGCTTCAGCGGAATTTTGCATTAGGTTGCTCTGTTTTTTTAACAAATTACTCAGTTAGATGAACATGAATTTTGATATCAAAAGATCCCATATTATCTAAATAAATGTTTTTGTCCTCAAGTTTAGATTATATAATATATATGTAGCAATGGAGGTCAGTGGGACCCTTGAAAATTTGCATTCTCCCTATGCATTGCATGTCATGGTATATGGCTATCCAATCTCTAGTAATAAAAAATAAAGGAATTCCTTGGAAACTAGGAGACACTCGAAGCCCAAAAGGAAGCCAAATAACAAATTTTATCCCATAAGTTATCCTCAGAGATTCTTAAGTTCCTCTCCAACAAATATCATTCAAAGTGCCACACAAATTACACATCTCCAAAGAACCTGTGCCTTCATATTATAACCAATGCCCATAAATTCAAAGCAAAACTGTACACAAGAAGGTACCACCCCATATACCTTCACAAAATCTAGCACTCTCCGCCGTAGTGTCAATGCCACAGGACATTGAAAAAATAAGTGATCATTACTCTCCTTGTCCCTTTTACACATGACACACTATTGCAGTTATAAATAGCAATTTGGTTTTCTTTTTTGCATCATTTCATTAGTATTAAGTTTGTTGTGAGCCATAGTCAATGCAAGATCTTTTATTTTGAATGGCACATTTGCACTACCAACAAACTTATGGGGATCAAAGAGTGGTACATTTGGATCATTGTTTATAGTTTTGTTTAGTTTTGGTGGTTGTGCTGTTTGGTTGAGTAGGAAGAAAAAAAAAAAACTTCAAAGAAGTAAGTGAAGCAATTGAATCTTTAGCTAAATTGAAAATGGAGGATAATCAGCTGAGAAGTGAATTTGGTCTAAAATCCCTTGCAATAATGAAGGTCAAATGATCTATATATATATATTTCAAGTGCTGGTGCTAATGATCTTGTTTCTGTATCGATTTATAAATCCTCCCCAAGGCACTGTAGGGTGGGGTTGGTGTACTTGCCCTTTGTTCTCTCATAATTGAATTTAGGACACTGGAAACTGCATTTTTCTTCTCTTTCAGAATCTCTTTCTGTTACTACAATCTTGTTGTCCAACCCAGGCTGAAGCTATCAGTGGGAATGATAGTCTCTTAAGCATGTAGCAGTGCTTTTGTCTGCAACACCATTTGTACTCATTCATATGAGAGTAGAAAACATTGCACGTAGGGATATAGTTGGAACAAAAAAGGGGAGGGGGGAGGATAAAAAACCCCTCAGTGCCTGAAAATTTGGAACAAAAAAGACGTTTTATTTTTAGTTTTTTTCAAAACAAATTTCACTCCCTGAAAATTTCTTTTGTTTACCAAAAAAATGTTATCATTGGAAACCATCTTTTCAGTTAATTTCTTTGTCAATACAAATGATACCATGAAAGAAAAATCCATTGAACATCTGTTGGATTAGATGATTGATATCAAAGAGAACAGATCAATTTAGTTAATTTCTTTGTCAATACAAATGATACCGTGAAAGAAAAATCCATTGAACATCTGTTGGATTAGAAGATTGATATCAAAGAGAATAGATCAATTTAATTTGATCTAGAAGGGGGTGGGGGGGGGGGGATAAAAAACCCCTCGGTGCTATTCCTTTAAATGACCATTCCATAGCTTAAAGGTTTTTTTTTTTTGTTTTTTTGAATGGCCTTGTGAAACACAAAATAGAACAAGAAATAGATACAAAAATAAGTTTCTATGGCACATGTTGGAGAAAGGAGGGGGAGGGGAGGAGGGGCATGAAGAACCATAACATATCAAGGTTTTGGTGTGCCAAACTACAGATCATCTTATTGGACCCTAGTAATACCCACAAAAAATCTGTTCTGACCTTTTCCAAACAGCATGTTAGAAACTGTTTTTTTGGTGTTGGTCCATGGTTCTGTGCTTCTTGTGTACATAACACTCTCATTTAAGCCAAGTTGGGCAGACATGGTTGATGCATTAATGCCCAAGTTATTTCTCATTTCAGTGAATTGAGATTTTCCTGAAATTTTGAACATACTTGGTATACTTTAAATCCTCTTCTATTCAGGTTCCAAGATAAACTATGTACTCATACTGAAATTGCTACTTTTTTTTTTTTCTTTCTTTCTTTCTTTCTTCTAGGAATTTGTTATTTTTTAGATATTGAATAGGGATATAGTTGTTATGCTTGCATAGAATTGAAAAAATATTGCACATAGCTGGACCCCTGTTTGAAAGAGAATTAAATTTGGTATACTCTTGGATATAAAGTGCTTTGTCTCATCATGAAATATAAGATCAGTCGCTAGCACTGTACATCGAAAAGAAGTAAGAAATATATGATATATCTATGTACTTTTAGGTAATCCTTACGTTGATTTGGTTTTTTACTACATTGAGACTTTTGACACTAAACTTTCCTTTTGTTATTCTACCTTACTAGTTTTTAAAGAGTTTGGATATGAGATCTGGAAAATTCCAATACGTATTTTGAAGTTTAGAATTCATTTTGAGTAAATAAGACTTTTAGGTAATGAACTCTTAGAAAAATGATTCATTTTCATAATTTTGTCTACCAAATTCCACTCCAATGATATGAAATTAGAGGAGCCAAAGATGAGAGTCATGCCATTGTGGATAGAATTTGGGGGCCTTAATTAGGGGATTTAGCAGATGTATAGTGGGTGCAAGCCTATTTGTAAATATTTTTATATCTTTTATGTTGGAAATAAAATTTTCTTTAATTTTTAAAAATTTGTTAGTTTGTATAATAGTATGATTTTGTTACAGTTGGACAAGCTATTGGAGCTCATGTTGCTTGGCCTGCTCCATTTGTGGTATATTTCTTTCGTGAATAATAATTTCATTAACAAATTTATATTAACTTAATATAGTATTAATTACCTTTATAAGTTTATCTTTTGGATGCAGATTTCGCAAGTTATGAATGCTAGCCGAGAATATTTATACAAGTGAGGTTGAGAGTTTGGGAATTGATTTTGTTTTGATAATTTGTCTCTCTGGAATATGGATGTCACTATGGCTTTTCAGAACTTATGGTTGGTATAATTTTCTTTTTAATTTTTTTTGCTTTAACTTTGTTAGTGTAGTAAAATATTTTATAATTTCGGTAAGGGATTTTTATTGCAATATAAATAAATTTATATTTCAATAATAAATAATTGATTGTGGTTTGATTTTTTTTTTTTTTTTTTTGATGTGATGATCCTATGGTGGTAATATTTGTTTATTGTTATGAAAATATTAAAGGATGAATGGATGTCAAATTAATATAGGATGTGGTGATTAATATTCAATTGCTTAAAAAATTAATTCAATTTTTATACGCATTTACGCATGCTTAGTTGTAACTTTTAAAAGTGTCAATGAAAATAACATATAAGTGGCATTTTGTAGTAGTGATAGTAGTTTTGCAAAGTGTCACTAAAATAAGTCTCAATGTCACTTATATCCATTTAATGGCGCAAATGAATTGGATTTAGTGGCATTTATATCAATTGTAAGATAACAAATGTCATTAAAAATCTATGTAGTGGCATTTTTTAAATTACAAGTCTTCTTTAATGGCACTTGATAGCATCACGAATAGTGTCTACCATGACATTAAAGTGTCACTGAAAGTGTGTAGCCTTGATGGTGTAATGGCACTTAGAAATGTCACTAACTCTTTTTTTAATGGCGCTTGATAGTGTCACAAATAATATCTATCATAACATCAAAATGTCATTGAAAGTTTTTAGTTATGATGGTGTAGTGGCACTTGCAAATATCTACCGTGGTACTAGTATCTACCATGGCACCGGTAGAAATGACACTTGTTCAAAATGCCACAAGACTAAAAAATGTCATTAGAAGAATAGTTTTGTGGCACTTTCAAATGTCACTAAACTAAGAAAATGTTGTCGTGCGTACCTCAGTCGAAAATAATATTTTTCTTCGACTACAAAGATAAAATTCTTTTACTAAACTTTTTTTTCATTTTTAGTTTTGTACTTAGCATGATTTTAAAATTAAGTTATTGTTTATAAGTTATTTAATATAATAATATTTAATTTTATCTTATACATATGCTTAGGTTTGGCATTCCCTAAAAAAGTCAAAAAGTCACTATCATATTTAAATCATATCATCTTATTTAAGTCACATCACCTCTCTATCACATCACTTTAAACCCAATTCATATTTCATAAAAAGTTAAAAAGTGCACTTATTTAGAACATTCCAAACAACAATGTCAATTGTATTTTGGATTTAACAAACTAAACCATTTAATCAATTTTTGTATTATTTCAAATTAAAAATAAATATTTTTTTTACAAACGTATTAAATCATACCCATACCCGTATTCGTACCTTACTTTTTTAAGATTTTACAATGCCAATGTACTCATATCATACCAATACAAGTGCTCATACCTATACTTGTGCTTCATAACTCTCATATTATCTTGAGTTGATTCTAGAGAAACTTATTAAGCCGAAAATTTCTTGACTACTCCATGTATGTGTGCGTGCGCAATTGTAACTAATTTATTATCTAAATTAATTTCAATAGAATTGATAGACTAATAGTAATTTCAAAATTGAGTGGGAAATTTTTTTCAAAATTCAATAAGTAACCGGTACGGATACAACATGTTTGTCGAAGTATCCACAATTCATAGTCTCAAGATAATTCTAAATGAGGACTTTTATATATTTTTTTTATTTTTTTTGCAAAGTCTATATTATTTAAAATTTAATTTTTTCATTATTGAGATAAAAAAATATTTATTAAATATTTAAATTTAATTTTTTTTATTTGGGGGGCAAATTGATTTTTAAGATATAGTTTGGGAGTTAAAATGACTCTAAATGAACTTTAATGTCACGTCAGCACATTCCATTCAATTGTAAACGAAATGTGACAATAGGAGTTAAATGGATCAATTTGTTGAAAGTTTAGGTACTAAATTGAAATAAATCGAAGTATGAGGGTCAAATTGAAAAATGCGTGATAATTTGAGGGGCCAAATGATATTTCCTCCCAATTTTGTTTACAATTTTTAAAAAATAAGAACAAAAATAATTTATAATTTTTAAAATTATAAATACAAATGTTACAAAACACAAACATTTAAATATAAACTTGCCGCTCTAAACATATTTTTTTTCTCTAAAACTTGAGAGAGTAAAGATTGGCGATGAAGCTCGAACTAGGCTGATTGCCACTACTCCCACCCGTGTTTTTTTAAGGGGCATTTATTCATTAATTTTACTTCATCTATTTATATTTTATTTATTTTAAATTATTTTCTTATATTTCAATAAATTCTATAGATGATATAGTTATAAAAATATTTCTAATTATAATAAGATAAAATGCGCATTAATGTTTATATTGTCTGTGTAAATGTTGCATGATGTGAACATTCACATTGTCAAATTTATTTAATGTGAATGTTCACATCACCAAATTACTAAGGGTTCAAAAAATATTTATAGGGGTAAAACTGTTCATAAAATATCTTAAATATGAAAATTTGGATTTAGTAGATTAAATGTCCAAAATAATAGAAGTTATTAGAATATAAAAATATTTTATGGATTAATTAGGTTACAAGTACTTAAAAAAATATTTTCTAATAAATTCTCATTTTTTTAAAATTTGTTTTCATTGCAAATGCCAAACAATAATAGCAACTATCATGTGCTTTATTTTCAAATTACTTCTAGTTTCTTTGTTAATTTGTTTTTAGGCTTCTAATTTGTCATGTAACGTTAGGGTTTTTATTTATTTATTGTGAACTTAGGTCTTGTTGAGTTTGATGCTAGGGATTGTTTCAGAAATATAGACACGAATATGGAACACAATGATTTCAAAAATATAGGAATATAGATATAGCGGGAATACTGCAATAAAATATTTTTTTTATGTAGATTAATATTATATCTACAATTAATCAAAATTAATAATAATTAATAATATTTTGATATTTAATATATATATATATATATACTTTTAAATTAATACTTATTTTATTTTAACTTTGGTATGGATGATCTATTAAGTATATAAATGTAAACAAAAATAAATAAATGTCCAAATCAAGGCACTAAAGAAAGGAGACCCCAAAAAGGAGTATTTACCAACTAGTCCCATTAAGCAAACTTAAATACCATTAAGTCTTATTGACTTTTTGAATGCACTAATAAGTCTTGTCCTCAAATTACCTATCAAGTTTTCTCATCTTATATTCTCTATCTTTCTTTCTCCACCATTTTTCTAAAAGGTTTACACTACCATTATCTACTACCACTACCACTGTCACTGTCCACACTCGTCACTATTGCCATCATTTATCCACCACCACCACAGTCGTCATCATCCATCCACCACTATCACCACCGTCATCGTCGTCCACCCACTACTTCGATCGTTGCATATCTACCACCATCGTCGCAAATCTACACTTTACCATCATTGATCTACATTCCATCGTCGCCGATCTTCACAATCATTATACCATTCACCTCCTTTGTTTCAGATTCAAATTTATTCAATGATAAATTTATCAGTCTCTCTTTCTCTCTCTCTCTCTCTCTCTGTGTGTATATGTGGAAAATGATGGTGGGTTCTTATAAATAAGTGAGTGAATATGAGTAAGGATAGTGGATATTAATGAATAAATTTATAACGATAAATTTATCAGTAAGAACTTGTAGGTAAACAAGTCTAGTTAATAGGACTGGACTGTAAGTGTCCCCCAAAAAACTAGTTATTGTATATCTGACATTGTTGAATATAGAAATTAGAGTACATAGAATCTCTTTATTTTTAGTATTATGTATATAATCTGTGATTATGTCAATCACTGATTTAGTATTATTTCCTTATTTATATCATTTTCTAAATTGTATCATGAATCTATTATATATACATGGTCTCTACCTCATTCATGAAAAATCTAAATAATTCTTTTCAATCTTTTTGGTATCAGAGCTAGGTTAAGTGCCTAGTAAATTTGTTTCACCGGCGAGCAGCAGCCTTGCCTTGGCCGCCTACTAGACCTCAACCCATTCTATGGCCCTATTTTCTTTCAGTATCACTTCATGGTGATCTCTTTCTCTATCCACTAGTTTATTCATATCCCAAATATCTCTATCATATTTTTTTTTACTCGCAATCCATTTTTTTGTGTGTTTCTATTTCATTTTGTCTTTTCATCTATTTCAACCTCAAATAGGTTTCTATCTTCAAACCTATTTGAGTTTGAGGGGAGTACTAGACCTATATCAAGGTGAGCATGGTGATATATCATGTGAACCACCTAAGCAGCCCTCTCTGATGCACAACCTAAGTCGCCTCCTTGGCGCACCACCTAAGTCATCCCCTTAGCGCACTTTCTAATAAGCCGCCCCTTGGCGTATTCAGTTATTTGTTGCCATCATCGTTTAGCACCACGTCATAAGTTATGTGTGTGCCACACTTGCTGGTTCAACATCCAGTTAGTCTTTACGACGGTTTGACATGACCCCTTAAACTGTCTCGACATTAATTCCAGTTAGTTCATATAAGGGTCTGGCATGACCCCATAAACTGTCCCAACATTGATTTTGGTCAGTTCCTACAACGGTCCGGCATGACCCCTTAAAGTTGCCCCGACATTGATTCTAGTCAGTTTCTTCTAGGGCAGTTCAGTCCCTATTTTTTCTCCCTTTCTAGGGTGTGGTGCTAATTAAGTACTTTTTTGGCCTTTCTTATTTAGTGGACTACCAGATTTGTTCGGTAGCATTTATTTGGACTAATCGTTGAGTTTTTTTCGACTTCTTCCAATCATCCATCTGCAAGCTGCGATTGTTGAATATCTTCACACCAGCTTGAGGGGGAGTGTTGAATATAGAAATTAGAGTACATAGAATCTCTTTATTTTTAGTATTATGTATATAATCTGTGATTATGTCAATCACTGATTTAGTATTATTTCCTTATTTATATCATTTCCTAAATTGTATCATGAATCTATTATATATACATGGCCTCTACCTCATTCATGAAAAATCTAAATAATTCTTTTCAATCTTTTTGGTATCAGAGCTAGGTTAAGTGCCTAGTAAATTTGTTTCACCGGCGAGCAGCAGCCTTGCCTTGGCCGC